CTTCAAACTCCCCGTGAGCTCAAGAAATCGTTGCACGTGCTCCCTTGGTGATTCACTTGTGAGTTCATGGAACAAAGCATTGTTCTGAATCATTTTTACGAGGGTCGGCTTAATCTCGAAATTTTTGGCGCCAACGGGAGGGTGTAGGATAGGCGACTGAATGTCCGCCGGCCGTGGGGCCATTTAATACCCCATTGTCCTCAGGGCTTCCTCCTCGGCCGCCTCCTCATTATGGTTGTGAGCTTGGGCGGCGGCTCCTTCTCTTTGGTTCTCTGCCATCTCAACTCTCCAATATCCACTTCTCCTTCAACTCCTTCAACTTCTTCTCCACTAACTCCAATAACTCCGGGACACAATGTTTGTCCCTTCTCTTCACTTCTCCTACTTACTTCAGCTAACTCCCTCTCCCGAGCTAGGAGTCGGAGAGTCCGGTTGATGTTCTTGTCAAGCGGTACTAAGGGCGCCAGATTGCTCCGGGTGATGCATCTCCCTGCACACACTCAGAGAACAAAACCACGTCTAGCACAAGCAAAACACTCAAACAAACAAAGCTGAAAATTAAAAGATATATTCACACCAAACAACTTTTTCAAGATAACGGACCAAAGCTCCCCGGCAACGGCGCAAAAAACTTGACTCGTCCCGAATATCACAATAATTTCCCACCTAAGGCCCAAGTATAAACCTTAGATGGATGCAATATAGGGCAAGTATATTTAAATATCAACCTTGGTCGACCCGTGTACCCCTACTTCCATTTTTTAAGCATTATCTAGCGAATTGGTTTTTGGTTGAAAACTATGAGATTTAAATCAAAGCAAAGCAAAGGTAAATTGGTTTGAAAGCTCTAGATGAGAAGGATCACTCGGGTGTCGCTTCCCCCTAACTACTACCATGTCATGTGGATTCGAATGGGACGTTTATGGGCAAGGCAATCATGGTCGAAGACCACACTCTCATTTGCCAAACCAATGGATACATTATAGGCTACAAGAATATCCCTCTTGGTTAAGAAAATTAAGGGTTGACTTACCTTCTCTCTCAAACTGATGGTTGGACGGCTTAATCATGATTAACATAGTTGCTTAATTCAAGATAGAGGTTTGCCCTACATTAACCTAGGTAGGTGGTTTGTCAAGTCCAAGGAATCCCAATTCAATTGAGCCTCTTTTGGAAAAAGGGGTTTCACCTCTAACCTAGGTTAGAATGGCCAATTAAATTGCTAAGCACACACATGCACAATCACCATGAAAAATCCCTCAATCATTAAATTAAACAACACCCATAAACAATAATTCAAGTCACACTACAACTACATGGCAAATAGTTAGGGTTTCACAACACCCAAATGAAAAAGAGTACTACTCCATGCTAGAAAGGGGAAGAACACAAGAGGAAGAGATAGAAACCATCATGGAGATGCCTCCAATATCCTCTAGCTCTCATTTGATGAATATGAACATCTAAGCATCTAAATAAAAATAGATGAAACACATTTTGCAATAAGATGAAGCAAACAATACAAAATGGACGCGTTGGCCAATGAATATGTACCGATTGGGGAACAACAAAAACATTTTTGAAAATCATTAGTGTGGTTCTCTTGTTCTTCAATGAGTACTACTGTACTGACTCCGTTGTTCCTACCTTGCGGGTGTCTTTGGATCTAGCAAATCGCTAAGAAAATAAATAACGAGGCGAAAGCAAATACGAACTTCTAGTTCAAATCAATTAATTAATGTGGTTCTTTTGTTTTATCGATAAAGATTCACAAATGGAAAATGGATTGTCGAAACATACATGATTGAAATACGCGTGATCCGAATGCGCGTAACTCTCTTTTCCTATCAATAAATATTGGCTCGCTCTCCTGCGTTTCGCGGTGAGTTGAAAGTAACATTGTAATTGTGTTGTATGAAATATTTAACAAAATATAATTCAAAAGGCAATTGCAAAAGCAACAAGAAAAATTGAATGAGAACTCCGTACGTAGCAATTTGCACTATGACCAATGAGGCTATGGATAAGAGGAGGACGATCTACACACTATTGATGAAGAAGTATTTGTTTGATTTGGAGGTTGACAACTATTTAGTAGAGAATTTACCAATAGATTTGCATTTATTTTAGCCCAACAAATGAAACGATGAACTTAGAATTTACCTTTGATTGTCAACTAAAATGAAAAAAAGAATATAATAAATCAACAAAATTAAAGGAAAATGACGAAAGAACCTAGTATTTAGTTTCGTTGGTTTCAAGGCTACTATATTCTTCTCAAATGGGAGATAGATTTTTATCGTTTACATCATAAACGAACTCGAACGGGTGAGATGATTAAAAATGCAAAATCAAATACGAAAGCATGTCTTGATCGAGAGAGATGAGTAAGCATACGAAATCAAATACGAACAACAAATCGATTTAAGAATAACAAACAAAAATAAGAAAAATCGAAAAAAAAAGAAATATGAAGAAGAAAAGCAAAAAATAAATAATAATGTTGACATATGTCTCTTTAAAAAGTTGCCACATGTCACTTTAACAGATTAAACTTTGGTAAAATTATAAGAAAACCTCTTAATGAATAGTAGATGCTTAACCAAGGCTTTTATATAAGAAATGAAACGATGAACTTAGAATTTACCTTCGACTGTCAACTAAAATGAAAAAAAGAATATAATAAATCAACAAATCAAAGGAAAATGACGGAAGAACTAGTATTTAGTTTCGTTGGTTTCAAGGCTACTATATTCTTCTCAATTGGGAGATAGATTTTTATCGTTTACATCATAAACAAACTCGAATGGGAGAGATGATTAAAAATGCAAAATCAAATACGAAAGCATGTCTCGACCGAGAGAGATGAGTAAGTATACGGAATCAAATACAAACAACAAATCGATTTCAGAATAACAAACAAAAATAAAAAAAATAGAAAATGAAATGAAATATGAAGAAGAAAAACCAAAAAATAAATAATAATGTTGACATATGTCTCTTTAAAAAGTTGCCACATGTCACTTTTAAAAGATTAAGCTTTCATAAAATAATAAAAAATCCTCTTAACGAATAGTAAATGCTTAACCAAGGCTTTTATATAAGAAAATTGCCAATTAGAATGTCGGAAGTGTGAACAAAGGTAATTGAGAATTGTGAAAGGTGTACTTGAGATGGGGAGGCGAATCGAATGCACCCTGATAGAGATTTTTCCTTTGATACTCATGCTTCCGTTGCTGCCGCCGGATCCCAAAAATGCTCAGTTGCCGCTGATGTCGGCCGTCTTCCTATAGTGGTCATCTCCAGATCTAGGGAGTGGCGATCTCCATGGACGAATAGCAGCAACTGAAGGGTTGGGTAAACTGGCATGGGAAAGGATAGATAAGATGAGGAGGTGAAGAAGCCCGATTGGAATCTTGCGGCTAATTGACATAGCGGGGGGAGACAAAGAGATGGGTGAGTGAAATGGAACTCGTTGTTGTCTAACTCGGCCTGTCGCTAGGGTGAAGACGGAGAGCACACCGGTGGGAACTCGGCCAGCCGCCAACCAATGGCAGCGGATTTGAATCGCGAGGCGGAAGATGAAGCGAGCCACTGGAAACTCGGGTAGCCGGCGATCGCTCACGCAGCCGGATTGGAAGAGAAGGAGCAAAATCTTGCCTAATCGCCAGTAGTGAACAGTTTCCTGCGGTGGACCTGGTCTGTTCTGTTTTAGTTAGGGTAGTCTTGAAACGTTGCCTAGGAAAGTCTGACATATTTTAGAGACCTTGTATTGAATGGTGAAAACTTTCCATGCTTACCTGAAGTCTTGCATTCCGATGTTTGTTGATTGATAATGCTTCAAAGCTTTACTTGGGATGAGTTTGATACATAATGTGACCTCGGGTTAAGTTTGCTGGGTTGATGAAACATTGAACTGAGTTACTCTTCTCTGTGGTCAGTGTTCAGCAAGTTCAAACCTTTTTATGCTTCCTTTCTTGCTACGGAAATTATGTCATCTTTTGATATCTCTCTCTATTTGATGATGTACGCAGCGATGTTGGTTCCTTTGAGGGTAGTCTAGCAAGTTTTTTGCGATATGGTTCTTTTTCCTTCCCATGCTTCCAAGTTAGTAATGACCATGTGTAAACTGCATTGCTCACCTAGTTTATTCCGTTTTTCATTCATGCAAGTGAGAACCGATGTACTGATCTGGATTAAGAGGAGTATGCTGAAATCATATATGAAATGAGTGCCAGCGTCAGTTGTGGTCAAAATCCTATAATTTATTCACCCTCTTTCATTTAGCAACTTAAGGCCGTCTGGGCCGCATCTGTGTAGCATACATGAGGCAGAGCTTTCTCTCCTGATCTCGAACTGGACTTCATGATAGAGCAAGAGAAGCCTTAGTGCACCTCTCGATGCAGAAATGCAGCAGAAGGTGGAAAGGTGCCTCAAGCACTCGGAAGAAAGCAGGCCAAAAATCATCCACGAGTTGCTCTCTGTGTCTCACTTTGAGCACCTGCTGCAAGATCCATTTGCTAACTGTGTCGTTCAAACTGCTCTCATCTTCACCAAGGTATCCCGTTAACGACTTAAAACATATGTTCCTGATGCAGTTTATCACTCTTACATTATCATTAAAAAAAAACTAAAAAAAAAAACACTTATGCTGCTAAATCAAAATCCAGGGTCCTCTCCATTCTCTGCTGGTAGATGCAATTCGGCCGCATTCTTGGTTGCGCACGAGCCCATATTGCAAGAAGATCTTCACCAGAAACATGCTGAAGGACGCGTAGAGGGGTTTTGCTAGCTAATCAAAAAGCTCAATCTGTTAGGGGGTGGAGTCGAAAGCCTCTGCCGTTTTGATCTTCTACTAATAAGTGAGACTGTTTGTTCTATCTACGTTAAAGCTGCTACTCTTACTTGCTGCGTAGCATGAATGTCTGTACCAAGTTGGGGCTGTTAGCCAAAATTGTTGTCCTGTTGTTGTTCATCTAAACATTGATCAGCCACTGTAATCTGGTATTAATTTAGCACCATACCCAAATTTCATTATTTCTTTCTTGTCTTCATACACAACACAGAGCAAGCAGCTAGACAAGAAGCGTAGGGCCACAGCAGAAAATCAACAACAAACACACAAGCACAAAACGCAGGAGGAAACAAACAGAAACGGGGACGCGATGGATCGAGGGGGGTGCTGTGCTGCTTTTTCTTCTACTCATCGATCTGCTGACCAAGAAGAGCAAGGAGGATGTTCTCATAGTCGCCGCGGGTATCCTTAGCAATGGCCTTCTCCAGAGGGACGCTGTGCCTTCGCTGGTACTCTTCCTTGATAATCTTGAGATCCACTTCCGCCCGAGTGGCCACAACCCTAGTGAGCGCGCCTTCGTCGGTCCCTGTCTTGGCGATCGCGCCATGGAGAACCTCCACGAAGTACTCTTCGGGACGGGTCAGGCACTTGATGGTCGACCTCAGCAGCCACAGGAACTTGTCATCGTCGTCGTCCGATTCGAGGGCTTTCACGATCTCGTGTCCGAATTGGCTCTTGTACTGGTTCAGAGCGGCGTTGACCTGAGATTTGCTCCGGGTGGAGAGAATCCTGATCACCTCGTCGTCGGCGAACTGCTTCTCTTCGAACTTTTCGCGGAGGATCTTGGCCTCCTGCTTGGCGAGGGTGAGGTTGACGTCGTCGCCGTCGTAGCGGTGGCAGGCGATGAGGGAGAAGAGGAGCTTGCGGAAGTCGCCGGTGGTGCGGTGGGCCACGTCCTCCTCGATCGACTTCTTGTAGCGGGCGTGGTAGGCGGCCTTGGCGTCGAGGAGCTGGAGGGAGGATCTGGTGCAGGCGAGCTCCATGATAACCTGGTTGCTGGAGGTCCACTTGCTGGTGGCCTCGCTGGCCAGAACGGCGTCGCGCTCGCTGGGGCTCAGGGTCCACAGCAGGACGACGCGCTGGAAGTCGTTGGAGAGCTCATTGTCCAGATCCTTGAGCAGATCTTCGCCGTAGGTGGAGTGGTAGACTTCTCTGATCAGCTTCCGCTGAGCTGCGTTCCTGTGCGGCAGGATCGAGATGATCAATCCCTCGTTCGTCCCCCATCCTGCAGAAAGTAAACACACAACCCAAAATCATTTTACAGACTATTTAGATCTACCGCCATAGAAAGAAACAGTGAATGATTTAGTAGTGGAGAACCTCCAAATGCCTTTCTGAGCTGCTCGGAGTCTTCAGCGGCGTCGGGAACCTGGTGAGGGACAGTGAGAGTAGCCATAACAGCTCTGAAACGAATTTTGTGTTCTAGACTAGATACTCAGTCCTCTTACTCGTTGTCGTTGTTGTGGTGGTGTACTTTCTCTTTCTCGCACTCGGCGTTATTTAACAAGGGCGCTGGCCAGTGGCAGTGTGCCACTTTGTACACCGCCGCGTCGCCGATTCGCAAAAGTAGTAATGATTTTTATTTTCCATGTTGAAATATAATAAATAGGGGTGGGCCAAGTGTGCACAATGATGATGCCTATCCTAATTCCCATTTATGGTAGCAGGTGGGACTTGGGAGTGAGTGATTAGTGGGGGGAAATGCGTTGGCTCTTGTCCTCCTAGCCTCTTTTAAGATCCTAATAGATGTCGGTAGGATCCGGTGATTAAATAAGATATATATTAACGAGTGATTTTTTAACATCTAATGAAAATTTCAATTAAAATGAAAATAATATTTAAGGACTTAGGGTTCTGGTACCAAATTCAGCCATGAAAAAGCATGCAAAAATCCTCCTGATACGATTATAAGATCGAGGATTTTTGCATAGTTTTGCAAAATGTTGTGATATGATGATACGACTGGGTTTGCAGACTAGGATTTTGTACCCTATCTCCTCTCATATTTAACCTTTTAAAAATAAAAAATAAAAATTAATAATTACTTTGAATTACTAATGTTCTAAAATATTAATAACGCTATTGTATCTGAGCGCCAACAACCAACGAAACATTAACAAACTATATATCGTCAATAATTCCTTTCAAAATGCTAATAACATTACATCAATAATTCATTTCACAAACATTAACAATGAAATTTTATATCCTTAATAATTCTTTTCAAAATGTTTATAACGCTATTGTATGCAATTAATAGTTCTTTCCAAAAAATTTAACAACGGTATTGTGCACTATTATTAATACCTTGCAAAAATTATATATCATTAATAATTCCTTTCAGAATGTTAATAACGCTATTGTTATCAATAATTTATTTCACAAATATTAATAAAAAAATTGGATATCCTTAATAATTCTTTTGAAAATGTTTATAATGCTATTGTATAAAGGTAATAGTTCTTTCCACAAACGTTAACAACAAAATTGTATATCATTAAAAATTCATGTCAAAATGTTAATACCGATAATGTATATCATCAATCATTTCATTAAAATATGTTACTAACATTCTTGTATGTAATTACTAATTCCTTTTAAAGCATTAATAATGCTATTGTACACTATTAATAATTACTTTCACAAACGATTAATAACAAAATTTCATATCATTAATTACTTCTTCAAAACCTTAATAACATTAATGTTTATCATCACTAATTCCTTTCACAAACGTTAATAACAAAATTATATGAGGGTGGAGGATTTCTCTGAAAAATGCTCTCATTATTGTCTCCCAACGAAATCTCACTGGTGTGGTGGCTGATCGAAACCTAATTGGACGACCGTCGGACCCTATTTCACAAGGAGGGTTACTATTTGCCGCCCGGGTAATTACTATTTGCCGCCCGTAAAAAACACTAAAAAGACAAAATTTTCCTCCAAAATTTTCTTTATATTCTATTCGCTGAAATGGTTTTTTAAACAACATACACACCACTCGAGTCCCGACCACCAACCCCCCACAAACACCATAGCCAGATTCACGTCCACCGGACGGCAGCCTAAGTCGCCGGCCATCGGACCAATCTCGTCAGCATAATTCGCCGGCCACTGGACGGCAGCCGTACCCCATCGTCGGACCAGCGAAGCAGGTAAACCCCTGTGACTGACCTCCTGGATGTTTTTGCCCGTCCGCTCGCCGGCGTCGGACCCCGTCCGCTCGCCGGCGAGCGGACGGCGATAGCCGGCAGTGTTATTTTTTTAATTTGAGACATATTATTATTTCTACAGCTAATAATTTATATTTAATTTATTATTGCTTTTATTTCTATTTTACATAGTTAAATTCATATGTAGTTTGAATTAAGCGATTGTATTTTGTTGTAGCGCTAATTAGTTTCTTACTGTCAAATTATCATAATTTTGTAGAGTTAATTAAATTATTGCATTTAGTTTAATTTTGTAGAGTCAATTGAAGCACAATTAGTTTAATTAAGTGATTGTGTTTTGTTGTAGCGCTAATTAGTTTATTGTGTTTAGATTTAATTCGTAGAGCTAAAGAAGTTTAATAATTTATATTTAAATTTAATTCGTAGAGCTAAAGAAGTTTAATAATTTATATTTAAATAATTTTCTTATCGTCAAATTATCATTATTTTTAGAGTTAATTAAATTATTGCATTTAGTTTAATTTTGTAGAGTCAATTAAAACACAATTAGTTTAATTAAGTGATTTTATTTTGTTGTAGCGGTAATTAGTTTATTGTGTTTAGATTTAATTTGTAGAGCTAATTTGGTTTAATAATTTATATTTAATTAAATTTCTTATCGTCAAATTATTTCTATTTTGTAGAGTTAATTAATTTAGTTTAATTTTGTATAATCATATAATTTGTACCTTTCTAACGAGTTGTGAAATCATAATTGCAGGTGGACATTGCTTACAATGTTGAACTAATTGGTGATTACACATACCATTTTCTCAATGGCGTCCGATATGACAATTTCGAAGATGTTGTAACAGTGACCAAAAACATCGCGATGTCTCTTGGTTTCTTTGTAACTAAGGGATCGATGAAGCCACGTGAGTTGCGCAACAATAGAGTATTAGGTATGTGTTATATGTATTGCGACAAATGCAGTAGGGAGAGGAAGTCATACAAGCCGGATCCTTCCAAGGAGAGTCGTCGCAATACAAGTTCAAAAGGATCGGGATGCATGTTCAAGGTTAAAATCAAAGAACTACTGGTTGATCCAGATGCTCTTGATGGACCTTCATTCTAGGAGATACAAGCAGTGATTGAGCAAGAAATCGGTTTAAGGCGAGGGTATCACAATCACGAGAAGATGCTTTATCCCGAGGGCCACAGTCAAATGAATAAATTGAGTCAGGAGGATAAAGAATCTCTGAAGTAGATGAGAGATGCTGGGGTACCTCCATCGCAACAAAAGCAGACAATAAACAAGCAGAAGGGTGACAAAGGGCATCACACCCAAAGGCAGATGTATAACCTCGGGTCCAAGTCTAGGAAAGACGAGATGGGCGAGATGAATGGAGTGCAGTATGCGTTGCAAGCAGCTGAACGTGAGAATTATCATACAGAGGTTATGAAGGACGATAACGACGTGCTTACACATCTTTTTTTTTTTTGCCCATCCAACTTCCATCCAGATGTTGAAGGCTTGGCCGTACGTGATTCTGATCGAGTCAACGTATAAGACCAATGCATATAAATGGCCGTGGGTGGAGGTCGTAGGTGCTACTCCAGTTGGGAAGAATTTCAACATCTGTTGTGCTCTCATGAAGGATGAGACAAAAGAGTCGTATATGTGGCTGTTGGAGTGCATACAACAATTGCTCCATCCACGCGTGCCTAGTGTCATCGTCACCGACCACGAAGGTGGACTACTTGCTACGGTTTCTGTGGTCTTCCCCCGCACCCCGCATTTGCTATGTGTTTGGCACATCAACACCAATGTGCAGAAGAGGTGTTTGGAAATATTTGGGAAGGACATGATGGATTTGGTCAACGAGGCGTACAATCAATATTGGTGTCCTATGCTTTATTCTTGGTCCGAGCAAGGTATGTTGGCCGCGTTTGGCCGCTTTAGGACAAGATGGGGCAATTACGAACCACGTCTGTTGCAATACATACAGGGAGTGTGGTGGCAACATCGAGAAAAGTGGGCAGTTTGTCATACAAAAAATGTGTTTCATCTAGGAAATACGAGCACAAACAGGGTTGAGTCGTCACATTCCGCTTTGAAAACTTTCCTCCACAACTCGCGGGGATCTATGGACACTGTATGGAAAGGAAACCACCGCTACATTACTAACCAACTCGGGGAGGTTAGGATGATGTTGGAAAGAAGTAGAGAGAAAACCCTTTCAGAATCCGGTGGTACACCCTTCACATACTTGAGAAGGAAGGTCAGCATGCAGGCAATTATATTAATGAAGGAGGCTGAAGAAGAATTGGCGGCCCGCTTGGAAAAAAATGAGAACTCCCGATGTGCATGTCATTTCTCTGTGACACACGGCTTGAGGTGTGGATGTCAAGTTATGTAACACCCCACCCATAATCTCTATGGTTGAACCCGTGGTTCAAGCGCGCAGCCAAATCATCGGTGTTACTAGTTGAACTCGATCACCTCAAACATCATATCCGATAATTAAACACAACCATAAACCGTTATCATACAAACTCATTATTCGAATCCAACCCACTTATTGAATTTTACAAAATGTGGGTTTATTATTCAAACACTCAAAGCAAATACCCTAGGTGACCATGACAGAACAGTGTTCCAAACTACCTCATGATGGTAGTACAGAAGGATAGGGCAGCCTCAGTAGTCCGATCCTAGTTGCACCTGCGAGCCTGAAAACAGACGTGGGTCAGCAACTAAGCTGTGTGTGTGGATCTTTCCCACGACCTAATTTTGGACCACAATCAGCTAATCAAACAGTCATAATCAACCACAATTTAGAACTCTAGATGCCCTCTTAATTCATCCTATATATAAATCATCGATCAATATATCGAATCCACTAACTCATCATCACCAAATCAATTTATCCAATAAGATAATCACATAATTTCACGAACACATAATCAATGCATGATATGAAAATTCCCATTAATTATTAATGGCGCCAAGGTCACCATACACTTACCCTCGCTCGAGCAAATCATCATCCGTGGTGCTCATGCAACCACAACACTCAATCCGTGGGTTTTAACCACAACACTCATCCGTGGTTTTTAACCACAACACTCATCCGTGGTGCTCATGCAACCACAACACTAAATCGCATAAGCGAGCTAAATCTACCAACTCTCAAGGGGTGAGGGTAAATGCAGGCCCTTTCTATATCTACGTGAATTAATATGATCACGAATCAAACCATTTCCATTTTTCTCATCCATCACAATCAATCCGGAATCAATGTAATCTTACGGATTAACCAGTTCATATATATATTTTCCGTCGATTATCAACTCGACATTTAAAAAAAAATCAACTATTTCACCATCCAATACCAAATCACATAAAT